AGTGACATTCTTATAGATCGCTTGCAAGTATTGTTAAAAAACTTAGATTGTTTTATAGTTAGAATAAGTTCTTCACATATTTAAAAGGGTAGTATTGACGATGGCAAAGAGAATGAATATTATGGATTTCCCGCTGATAACCAAAAACAAAAACAAAAAAAAAAAAATAAATAAATAAATAAAATAATGCAAAACAAAAAGACTTAAGGTAATGAAAATCGACTGAAATGAAATTTAATTTGTGAACAAATTTTTAAAACGCAAAGCAAAGCAAAGCCAAAGCAAACCCAACGAAAGCGATTAACTTTGAAATCTTATCTGAAGGATTTAAATTAAATCCGCTTATGTTCATTTTCGGAGTCCTGCCGTTAATGTTGCCACACAATGTGCCAAAACTAAAAATGCGTTACAATGCAAACAAAGACGAGCTGTTTGGACGGCCGACTGCCTGCAAGTGAGAATTGCATTAATAATGCCGTGTTTAACACAGCGTTAATCGCATTAATCTTATGTTGAAAATAATTAGTGTTTTGTATATAAACACGAATAATACATACTAACGCACGCACACATACACATTGATACATGCAAAAATGCATAAATATAATTTGGTGTTGCAACCTTTATACTCTTTGTTCGTTTAACTGGGCATAAAACTAATGCAACTTGGAATAAGTGTCACTCTGCCCGGCATGCGGTCTTTTTGAGCGTCCAGAGTGAAATGGAATGGTCGAAAAGGAATAAAAGCAACAAAACAGAAAATGAAACCAGCAGACCCTTAAGGTTTGCATAATATATGCAAAGGGTACAAAAAAGTAAAACTGTTTATGCACGATCGTCACACTTTACAGGATCAAAAAATGTGCAAAAACAAAAAACAATGCTTAAACAGTTCGAAGCCCAGTGTATACAGTATAACTATAACTTAACTGCAAGTGTTAATACCGCGTGAAATTAGATTTATTTTTGCCAGTAACTCAAAGATAATTTAAAAACAAAAAAAAAAGCAAAACGAAAAGTCGAAATATCTTTAAAAAAAAAAATCCAAAAATTCATAATAATGCACTTGACGTTATTGCTTTCGGAGCTGATTAGGGCGTAAACTAATCAAATTAGTTTCCTAAGAATATTACAAAAAAAAAAAATAAAAGGTCACAGCATTTAGCAGTTTTTAGATTAAAAGCAAAACCCATATACATACATATATATATATATATATATATATATAAAGAAAATGTAATCGAAAAATCAGTTCAGTGTAAACGATTTGATATATTACCAAAGAAATCAGCAAACAAGCCTTTAGAAACCGCTATAGCTATACACCATGATGACCTGTAACAATTTAATGCTTAGGTGCTTACACACATGTAACCTGCATTGTTCACAAAAAAAAAAAAAAAAAAAAAAAAAAAAGTGCCATATAGGGGTTTAAGTTTTTTTTTTTTTTTTTTTTCTTCTTTTTAAAGAAAGAAATT